CCCAGGCGGGTCTTGAACCCGTGGACTCAGGCAATCCACTCACCTCAGCCTCCCAAAGCATCGGGATTACAGGCTGAGCCACCGAACCTGGCTCTTGCAGTGATTCTTATGAAAATGGCCAGTTAGCTTGTGGGAAAGCCTAAAATTTTTTAAAGCATGCCCCAGAGATTTTTGATACCCTTATTGAGAACTTCTCTGAGGCTTTTCGATCGCAGAGGATGCAGCCTCAAGTGTTCCTCTGCTGGGCCCCAACCCCTACTCACCGTGGACCAAACCATAGATAATGCACACTGGTGTATACATGCAGTTAACCTGGCTATGAGCTTGTATATGGCTTAAGCAGAAAGCCATGTATATAGTTTCATATCTACAAAAAGGATCATGTAAGGTACATAATTGTAGTGTCATTTTGTTGTTCTGTTTTCAAATCTCAAAGTTTAATAATCAAATTCAGGTGATTCTGTTGTAATGCTTCATTTGAGGAGAAATTGGAAACTGGTTTGGAATCCTTAAGACAGTTTCAGGATCTCATTGATAATATACCTAAATGTCCTCTAATCTCCTGGCAGGTATCTGTACTTGAAAACTGGAAGGAGAGTGAAGTGTATAAGTTACAGATCATGGAGTCACAAGCAGAAGCCTATCTTAAGAACTTGAAGCTAATGAGCAGGTAATATGGTCTCACGGGTGTTCTCTTTATGACATTGAGAAAATAAAGTGAGAAAACCATTTGAGAAAAACATTCATATTAGGCAGTACCATTTTATTTTTAATAGTTACACAATTGATACATGTTCAACTGTAGAAAAGTCAAAACATAAAAACACAAATGATAAAAATCATTCGTAATTCTAAATGGAGATATAACTAGTTAATATTTTGAAAAAAGTGTATTAAGTATTTGAAAATGAAAATCTGCATATTTTTTCCACTAAATAGCATATGGGAAACTTCTTTTTGTGTTGGTAATTACTTTTCTCCAACCTAATTTTGAAAGGTTGAATAGTATGTCAGCATACAAACTTGTCATAATCTATAAAATACTGATGTGGTGGGGTAGTTGAATTGTGAATTTTTGTTAATGTAAGCTGCAATGCAGTGAACATCCTTGTAGTTAAATCTTTGCACACATTTTGAGTCATAGCCATGCAATACATTTCTGGAATGAGGATCCCATTTTCTTTCTTTTTTTTTTTTTATCAATATTTTTTATTATGGTTTTGTGGGGTACAGTTAAGTTTTAGGTGTACAATTACGTTTCATTCAGGCACCCTGTTGATAAGAGGTGTTTCCCCTTCCCCAGACAGATATTTGCTACTGTTAATCCCATCCTCCTCCCCCCGCATAGTTTCCTAGTACTGTCAGTCATTTTCTTATAGTATTAGATTGGATGTCCAAGGTCCATTATATGAGTGATAACATGGGATACTTGGATATTTGTTTCTGTGGGAGGTCACTCAGTATTATAGACTCTAGTTCCATCCAGGTTGCTGCGAAATTCATGATTTTGTTCTTTTTTATGGCTGCGTAGTATTCCATCGTGTATATGTACCACATTTTTTTAATCCAGTCCTCTTTTGATGGGCAGCATGGTTGTTTCCAGGTTCTTGCTATTGTGAACAACACTGTGATAAACATACGTGTGCAAGTATCTTTTTTATAGAGTGATTTGAGTTCTTCAGGGTATATTCCCAGTAGGGGGATTGCGGGGTCATATGGGAGGTTGATATTTAGAGCTTTTAGGAATCACCACACTGCTTGCCACAGAGGTTGCACTAGTTTACACTCCCACCAACAGTGTAGAAGTGTTCCCTTTTCACCACACCCTCTCCAGCAGCTGTTATTTTTTGAGTTGTTGATAATTGCCATTCTGACTGGAGTTAGGTGGTATCTCAGTGTGGTTTTGATTTGCATCTCCCTGATGATTATTAGTGAGGTTGAACATTTCTTCATGTGTTTGTTGGCTGCTCGGATGTCCTCTTTTGTGAAGTGTCTGTTCATATCTTTTGCCCATTTGATAATGGGGTTGTTTGTTTTTTTCTTTTCAGCACGTTTTAGTTCCTTGTAGATACAGGATGTTAAGCCTTTGTCAGACCTGGTGTTGGCAAATATTTTTTCCCAGTCTGTAGGCTGTCTCCCTGCTCTCTTGTTGGTTTCTTTGGCCTTGCAGAAGCTTGTCCCACTTGTCTATCTTCTCTCTTATGACCTGTGGGTTTCGGGTTTTGTTCAGGAATTGCATGCCAGTTCTGATTTCCATGAGGGTATTTCCTTCATTTTCTAAGGTTCTTATGGCTTGAGGTTTTAAATTTAGGTCTCTGATCCATTTGGAGTTAACTTTTGTGCATGGGGATAGATAGGGGTCCTGTTTCAATCTTCTACATGTGGTCAGCCAGTTTTCCCAGCATCATTTACTGAATAGGTTCTCCTCTCCCCAGTGGTAGGTGGTGGAGGCCTTGTCGAAGATGAGTTGGTTGAGAAATTGAGGTTTTGCTTCTGGAATCTCAATTCTATTCCATTGATCTATATGCCTGTTTCTATACCAATACCAAACTGTTTTGATGATTACCCATCAAATTACCAGCAACATTCTTCTCAGACCTAGAAAAGACAACACAGGAATTCATATGGAAACACAAACGTCCAAGAATAGCCAGAACAATCCTCAGCAAAAAAAAACAAAGCAGAAGATCCCATTTTCAAGGTTTAATTTTTTTTTTTTTTTGACAAATTGCTTTCAATAATAGCTGTTATTCAACAGTCTTCATGACAGAGTTATGGGAATGTCACTAAAAACTATATTCACATATGTTAAATTTTTTTCAACTCTCCACACAATCTTTACCTGTTTTTTTTTGTTGTTGTTTTTCTTTGTTTGTAGAATCAGGTTTCCCTGGGAATCCTATAGGGTCTTGTTCACTCCAGCATTTAGCAATTCTCCATGTGGGTTTCTGCATATGGGATTGCTTTTCATCTGGTCCTTTTATCATGTTCCATACACAGATTTTGTTTTTTTAAATCCCAGGTTTTTCATCCTTCCTGATGCTTGCTTTTTAATTCAATTTCATGCCCTCCACATTGAACCATAGATTGCGTGTATCATGAAAAAAACATTTTAGTGCATAGTTCTTTATTTCTTCATTTTCAAAATAAAATTTTTTTTCATGAGAAAACTTTTCTGATTGGCTGGGCGCGGTGGCTTAAGCCTGTAATCCCAGCACTTTGGGAGGTCGAGGTGAGAGGATTGCCTGAGCCCATGGGTTGGAGACCAGTCTGGGCAACTTGGTGAGACCTTATCTCTACAATAAATCAGAAAGTAGCCAGGCATGGCAGCACTTGCCTGTAGTTCCGGCTGCTTGTGAGGCTAAGGCAGAAGGATCACCAGAGCCCAGCAGGTTGACACTGGGGCGGCTGTGAGAGTCCCTCTGCACTCCAGCCTGGGCAACAGTGAGACTTCATCTCCAAAAAAAAAAAAAAGTGAACTATTAAGCTGATTCAGATTTTAGAACTAGTACAGCTGAGGTTAAGACTAAGAGGTACTCAAATGCTCATGTAAAGCACTCACCATAGGTGCATCATGGCTCATCTGGGAAACAAAGATGTCTCAGACTTGTTTTATCTAGTAGTATTGACTTTGTTCCAGTAAGCCTTATGGTATTGGGAATGCCATGTAAACTTTGCCTATTCCATCAACATACAACAAAATAGAAAAGGGATAAAAAGAATGTTGCTTTTTCTTTAAGAGGTATAATGATTCTCACCATACTCACAGATCGGTAGTATTTTTGATCTTGTCGATTAGGAATAGTAAATTTGTCTTCTCCAAAAATCAGATTCATAAGGTGAGGAGATCATAAATAAGGCCCATTCTTTATTTTTATAATAGGGTAGGGATTTGATTGTTTCAGTCTACTTTTTAAAAAATTTAATCCAAAGGCAACCTTTAATGTTAAACATGATATCCAATGAGGAATGGTCAGATTTTCAAATTTGGGGAAATAAGTTAATTTCAGGAGAATATTTGCTCACTGCCTCTTAGTTCTGGGGGTTTGTTGTATCCAATAAAATTTCCTAAATGCCTCTAGAGGTTAGTTGCAATTCTTTATTTAAGGGCTTTTATGTTTTTCAATTTCTAAAATAGATATAAGCAGTTTCATATTTTTCTACTTTTTCAGTGATTCTGCAGCATGTCCTGACATGGAATCTGAAAAACATTCATGGGAATTGTTTCTTTCTAATGTTACAAAAGAAATTGAGAAAGCAAAGGTAAGTTATTAAGAAACATTTTCTAATTCTGTCAAATATTTATGAGAATTATAATTCTCAGGAGGCTAAGTGTCATACTGAAACCATTTATTTTTAGATCTGTTAATGGCAACAATTTATGTGTTTTTGAAAGTATTACAAATTTTTCATAGAAGTAGTGATATTTTCTTAGTTCGGTAACTATCTTAAACTCTGTCCTTGATTGATAAGATTAGAGAAGTTATGTTTGATAAAGCTGTAGAGCATTCTGATTAATGAGGTCTTATTTTGAACTTCCTCCTTTACAAAACAGTTATGTTTCTTGGAAAGTGTTGACCATTTGTAATGTATACTAAGAAACAAAGTTTTAATTGACATTGCGGTTTTCCCACTCTTTCCCTTCTATCCACAGTCTCAGTTTGAAGAACAAATAAAGGCAATTAAAAATGGCACTCGGCTCAGTGAACTTTCTAAAGTGCAAATTTCTGAGCTTTCATTTCCTGTCTGTAATATAGTAAGTCTATCACGTCTTACTTATTTTTTTTTCTTTTGACCATAATGTCTTTCTTAACTGGTCAAAGTAGTTATCTGTTGTTTCCTGGGAGTGAGGATGAAATGGAATAGTAATTCCTACATGTTTTCATTATTGGTACTACTGGTTAACCTTTTAAGCTTTATAACATTCTTATGTAAATAGAAAATCAGTTTTTCTGTATCCATGTATGAAGACAGGACTTAGGTGAATATACTGTTAGCATTTTTTCTATTACTTCCATGTCTTCCTTTATGTATGCTGGACTGTGTGTAGCGTGTGTGTGTGTGTGTGTGTGTGTGTGTGTGTGTGTGTACATGTACATGACGGGGGACCCAAAAAAACTCAGAATTTATCTATAAAAATTTGTGTACTTATTCTTACATGTTTAAAATTAAGCCATCTTCAAAGTACTTTCTGTTTGATGCAATACACTATCAAGATGCTTTTTCCAGCTGGGCACAATGGCTCATACTTGTAATCCCAGGACTTTGAGAGGCGGAAGTAAGAGGATTGCCTGAGCCCAGGGGTTCAAGACCCACTTGGGCAAGCTTGGGCAGCCTCGTCTCTATACTAAATCAGAATTTAGCCAGGTGTGCGCCTGTAGTTCCAGCTACTTGAAAAGCTGAGGCGGAAGGATCACCTGAGTCCAACAGGTCGAGGCTATAGTAGCCATGAGCTTGCCACTGCATTCTAGCCTGGGTGACGGACTCCAGCTCAAAAAAAAAGAAAGAAAGAAAGATGCTTTTTCCACTGTTCAAAATGGCTTTTGAACTTGTCTATTTTGATGCCTTTTAGTGCTTCTGCCATTTTTGGTTTCACTTCTACATCAGCAAAATGTTTATCTTTGAGGATTTTTTTCATCCGAGGAAATAAAAAAAAGTCACTTGGGGTGAGATCAGGTGAATAGAGTGAGGCACGAGGGTCATGCTGTTTTTGGTCAAAAACTGCTGAACACACATTGTGAGGTAGGCAAATGTGTTCCTAAATCACTCATCATGAAATGGGCAAACATGTTGAAAGATTCTCCAAACAAAAATTCACTGAAGCTGAAAGCAGCCTCTCACAACAATGCTAGCTGGTATACTGATGCCAACAAGTTCCTAGAACACTACCTAGCATGGGAAGCCTGTAATATAAGAGGCCTGCCCTCCAAAAAATGATTCTGTTTTTTTTGGGGGGTCACCCCTTATATAGATATCCTGCTTTTGAACAAATAGTCCAGGAGTAGGAGATGCCTGTGATTTAAGCAGGGCCCTCTCTATTTCCACCCTGGATTATACTCTTATTCCTAGATATTTGGGGGCATAAGCCCAAAATCTAAAAATTAAGGTATTTCCTCATCAAATACAGAAACCGTTGTCAGTGAGACATGCAGGGTTTTGTTGGTCTTGCGTATCATGTTTTACTATTAGTTTAAGGTGTTTACTGAATCTTTTAAATAGCGGTGATTGCCATACCCAGTCTTTATTTTAAGATATGCAGCACAGTAAAGAAAAGCATTCATTGTATTTTGGGGACTTTAAATATGGCTAAACCTAATGTCACTTTCTTGTATTCTGGGGTACATATTTCTTAGATTTGGGTATGGAGCAGATGGTCCATAAATACTAAATAAAAATGAATTGAGCCCACAGGAGATCAGACTATAATAATTTAAGGAAAGGCCAGGCATTGTGGCACACACCTATAATCCTAGCACTTTGGGAGGCCAAGGCAGGAAAATTGCTTTAACCCAAGAGTTCAAGACCAGTCTGGGCAACACAGAGAGACTTTGTTTCTATCCCCTCTTTCCCCCCCCAAATAAAAAAAAATTAGCCAGGCATTGTGGCAGGCATCTGAGTCCTAACTATTCGGGAGGTTGAGGTGTAAGGATCGCTTGAACCCAGGAGGGCAAAGCTGCAGTGAGTCGTGATCATGCCACTGCACTCCAGCCTGTATGACAGACCCCCCAATCCAAAAAAAAGAAATTTAAGGAAGGACTCTGTTAAGGGGTTGATTAGAGATAGGTTTCAGACTGTTTCAGCATGACAGTGAAATCTTCTGGTTCCCAAAGACTGAGGAGACAATTTACCCCGGCACCTGATTTGCACCCTCCTGCTGTTACCAGATCTTTGCCTGGGCTGTTCCCCTACCTGGAACACCTTCCTCATTCTCTACCTCCTGCCTTCTCCTGAAAGCCCAGTCAGGGGCTGCCTTCTTCTGTTGGCTCTTCCTTTGTGGCCCTTCTGTCACATGCTTTAGATCTTGTCAACTGGGATGGCAGGCTCCTCCAGTCAGCCTGGTCTTGAGTGTCTCTTTCTTGCCAGTACCTTTTACACTAAGGATTCAAACTTACTGGAATTCATCTGCAAAAAAAAAAAAAAAAAAAAAAAGGTATAGGTGTGAAAAAGTGTGACCACCTTTAACTGAGTAAAATATTCTGTTGAGAATTTTTTACTCAATTTTTCCTCTCTATTGAACCGAGTAAGAAATAGTTTATTTAGAATTGAAGATCACTTCTCATGGTTTTTCCAAGTTCTTAGAGCAGATGAGGGAAGAGAAAACTCTGTATCTCAATAAGATGTTTTACTTATAGTTGGTAATTCTTGCTTATATAGTTTTACAAATACTCAAAAAGAATTTTCTTATCCAAAATTCTGAAAACCTCTACTTGTCAGGAGCTTGAGTAATAAGTATCCTTAAAAATAATTTACATTGTGTCTCATTTCTCCCTCATTCATTCATGGGGTATTTAGTGGTGATCAAGATTAGATGTAGGCTGTACCCTTAAAGTACATGTGAGCTCGGGAAAAGGCAGACTTTAAATCCATAATTACCAGCAGAGGGAGTGAGGTTTTCAGTAGCAGAATGCTAGAGCAGCATAAATCAGGGGGCAGCAATCTAATCTAGAGGTATTGGTCTCAGTAGAATATTTCCAGTTGCAGGTGTTAGTGAGACAGATTAGGAATTTACCAGGACTGACAGCAGCTGTGTGTCTGAGGAGAGTCAGAGTGTTCCAGTACATTTGGAGGTGAGAAAGATAGAGAACATATTCTTTCATGACTGTAAAGGAAGTTCAGTACTACAGAGGAGGCTATAGAAGTCCCGAGGGGTCAGAGCCAAGGGACCCTTATTTTTTAAGTCATGTTAAGGCAGTGTGGACTTTTCTGGCTTCACTAGGAAGATAATGTAGGTCTCAGATAAAGGAACATCAGATTTGTACAGTATTCCTTCCTTATTCACAGTTTGTTACCTGTAGTCAATCACAGTTCAAAAATATTAAATGGAAATTCTAGAAATACACAATTGTTAAGTTTTAAATTACACACTGTTCTGAGTCACGTGATGAGTTCTCACACTGGCCTACCCAGGACATGAATCCTCCCTTTGTCAGCGTCTCCACGCTGTAGCTGCGTCTTGCCTAGAAGTCACTTAGGAGCCTTCTTGGTGATTAGATCAACTGCGTGATATCAAAATGCTTGTGTTCAAGTCACCCTTATTTTACTTCTTCATGGTCCCAAAGCATGAGAGTATTGATGTTGATCACCCATATATGACAAAGAGAAGCCATAAAGTGCTTCCTTTAAGTGAGAAGGTAAAAATTCTCCATAAGGAAATAAAAAGTTTATGCTTAGGTTGCAGAGATCTATAGTAAGAACCAGTCTCCTATCCATGAAATTGTGAAGAAGGGAAAAGAAATTCGTGCATAACATTTATATAGGGTTTGGTATTCTCTGTGGTCTCAGTTATCTGTTGGGGGTCTTTGAATATATCCTCCAAAATAAGGGGGAACTATACTTTCTGAAGATGAGTTTGTGGGCAGAGTGGAGTAGGGGAGGGGGTTGAATGATTTCTACCGGGCTTGATGGGACATGGCAGAGGGAAGAGAACAGGAGTGAAAGGTGTTTAGTTAGAGGGGTACAGGTGAAGGCAGCATGCTCCTCACAAGATTGGGGTACTCCGTGTATGTATGTAGAGTCGAGGATGAGTCCAGGCTTCTATCAGTGAGTTGGTCACTAGGGGAAGCACCAGCTTGCGTGTGGAGTTTGAGTTGCCTTGGAATCATCATAGATTTGCAGGTTTGGATTTTGGAAAGTTATATTCTAGTAGGTGTTAATTAGCAGTGAGGGTGTAGTCATTGGGGCCTGAGAGAATGTGAAGGTCCTAGGAGAGTGTCGCAGACAGCAGCGTGGGGAGGAGCAACAACTTTTTAGGCTCAGGCAGAGGCCGAAGAACAGCTGCAAAGGAGCTCTGGGCTGTGGAGACACAAAGGCAGAGGAGACAACCATTAGAGGGGTGGAGACAGCTTTGGAGAGTGTCGAGTCAGTGATTTTTTTGATCGGTCAGCCATAAAGTGTACCTGGGAAGGGGAGAAGAGTGACCAAGTAGAGGCTGAAGGAGGGCCAGTAGGTAGGAAAAATGTTCTCAGGCAATTTTTCTAATTTTATAGAGAAATAGTGAATTATAGAGTTATTTAGAAGTCAGAGTCCTCCAATCTCATTCTGACAACAAGTTACGATTAATATTTTTTTTTTGAGTTGGAGTCTCACTCTGTTGCCCAGGCTGGAGAGCAGTGGCATGCTCAACCTGCTGGGTTCAGGCGATTCTTCTGCCTCAGCCTTCCAAGTAGCTGTAACTACAGGCATGCGCCATCACGCCCGGCTAATTTTTTGATTTATTGTAGAGACGAGGTCTTGCCAAGTTGCCCAGGCTGGTCTCGGAACCATGGGCTCAGGCAGTCCTCTCACCTTGGCCTCCCAAAGTGTTGGGACTGTAGGCATGAGCCATTGCTCCTTGCCAATAATTCTTTTAAAACAATAATATTTAATGTATTCAAGTTGCCTGTGCACTGGAGCCTCCTGGCTTCATTACAGTCATGTGTGTTCATCAGGCTTTGTCTGGGTGTTTCTCCTCTCAACTCAAGGAAAGCACTAAATGATCCAACTGCTGTGATATGTTCTCCACAGATTCATCCTAAGTTACTCCTTGAGTCTTTAGGACGTGATGATCAAGAGCTTGTGACTTCTGCAAGTGACGGGACTGGAAACCACACAACAGTTCTGAATTCCAGTCTGCTCTCTGACAGTGACTGCCCGGTGGAGGCTCCTTCCATGCCATTGCCGGAGCCACCCTTGGGTCAGCTTGAAGTTGCTCAGCCACCAGGGCCAAAGAGGACTGGCCAGGCAGCTTCATCAAAGCTAAGCTCTGTGGTCAACCAGAAACCACCTGTCCCTCAAGGACGTGCTACTTGTTCAAGCCAGTCTCCAAAAAAGCCATTCAATAGTATTATCGAGCACCTATCAGTGGTATTCCCATGTTACAACAGGTATGAATATAAAACTTCTGTGACTCTGTTCAATACTTTATTGAACTGAGGTTTCCTGATCAGAGAGAATCGGGCCAATTAGGAACTAACTTGGAAGAGATTGCATGATTGATTTGCTCAGAAAGACAGGTGCTACATTTCTTTCTTTTTGTAAGTATTGAGATGAGCATTCTCAAATAAGTGCGCTTATGTGCGTATCTAGACTGAAAACATTGTCCACTGGGTAATCAGCACTAGTTAGAACCCCTGGCAATTTACTAAGATTTTGATGAGATCAATAACATTCTGAAACTAGTTGTTATGGAATCAGGAAATTAACTGCAAAACAATAGTTTTGTATCATTTTGGGATACAAATAGGTATAGCAAACCTTGTTAGATAGATGTCTGATTCATTAGAGGTGTAAAGTTGAAAAGACTAGATGGAGTCTGATAGTGAATGAGGTGTATAGACATGTTAATAAGAGGTCCTTATGAATGTGGGGAAAAACCACTCTTACTGGGCTCAACAAGAGTTGTAAATAGGGTTGAAGATCGTTGCAAGCTCTTCAGTTGTGTTTCTGCCTCCACCTCTGGTTTCTACTTTTCAGGTTGGTATGATGGGGACAGAGGTGCCCCTTGTCTCTGCTGGAAGAGAAAATGAAGTAGAGGCAGTGTCTGGGGTATAGTTCGTAACAGAGGACTCTGCACTCAGGAACGACCCTCTGTGCCTGCACTGTTGTTTCTGTTTCTGAGATCATTTTAATTACAGGCTTTGAAATTTAAATTTGGACACAAAGTGTCAGTTAAAATTAATTGACCAGAATTAATGTTTTATTTCTGTAGAGTCCTTCTCATTTGAAAACAAGTATATTTTGTCTGCACATGGGCAGTCATGCCTCGGTTTGAGAAATATTCTAAGTTTTCTCAATAGCAATTGCTGTGCCAGTTGTAAAAATAATCAGGTACCAGAAGTACCCTACAAATAAAGTTGTTTGCAATCCTGATTACTCTTGGCAGAATTTAAACAATCTGATCAAATTGCATCCTAATTTTCTGAAAATTAAAAAATTGGGGGTGCTAGTGAAGCAAATAGCAAGCTTCTGTTGACTAGGTATAACTCCCATCTGATGGTACTCGTGAAACTTTCAGCCTTTGAACCCTGTTTAGATTTTTCAAAGGAGGACGTCTACAAAACTAGTTATATCTCTTGGATAGAAAGAGATTTTGTTGATTTCAAGTCAACACCAACAGTGTGTCTGATTGTTCAGTGTTTTTCTTAAAGCTATGTACAAAGCCAGCTCTCTAAATAGAAAATGGATATCCCAAATAGATCTAGATATATACTGTTACTTTGAGATTCTATTGAAATAAATATTTAGAAGTAATATTGAAATTTTCATAACTACTTGGAAAGAGTAAGTCTACCTTGAAATAGTTCTGCTTTTTGTATAGTTACTATTTTTTTCATGTGGTTTACAGATCTGTGTATATTTGTTTTTGTTTCTTTGGTTTGGGCTGTTGTATTAACACATAGTATTTCTTAGTAGTAGAAAAACATGACTTTCTGTCATCATTTATCACTCACTTTGTCTTTCAGCACTGAGCTTGCTGGTTTTACTAAAAAACTGCAAAACAAAAACAAGAACTTACTCTCAGGATTGAGTATTGATGAAATTGTCCAAAAAGTGACAGAACACATTCTAGATGAACAGAAAAAGAAAAAGGTATTTTATTCAGTACAATAAAATATTCCACTTCATCGTCATTTATTTATAAAGTATGAGAATCATAAAATTTTTTTTAAAGTTTCAAACCAAAATGTAGAGAGCAATTTAGCAGAAACAGAAGGTGGTCAAGCCTTTAAGGTAACTGAACTTTGCTTCCCTCTTGTGCCCTCCCCTTCCCACCCTCTGTTATCTCTGTAGCCAAATCCAGGAAAGGACAAGATATCGGAGCCCAGCTCCGCTGCCTCTGTGAACTCCTCCCAGAGCCCACCCTCAGTGACTGTGGGACTATCACTCAAAACTAAGGGGAAGAAAACAGAAGATGTCCATGTGAGTGTTATATGTAATAGTTAGTTTTGTTTTTTAAGGCAAAACAAGAAGGAAACAAAATTTTAATCCATGATTTAACCCCATTCTTTTCATTTCTAGACCTTTTTTTTGAGTTGTAGTCTCTCATTCTGTTGTCCAGACTGGAGTGCAGTGGTATGATCACAGCTCACCACAGCCTCAAACTCCTGGGCTCAAGCAATTCTCCTGAGTAGCCACCTTAGTAGCTGGTACTACAGCACCACCATGTCCTGCTAATTTTTAAAATTTTTTTGTAGGGACAGGGTCTTGCTATATTGCCCAGGTTGGTCTCAAACTCTTGGGCTCAAGAAATCATTCTGCCTTGGTCTCCCAAAGTGCTGGTATTATAAGCATGAGCCACAATGACTAGCCTCATTTCTAGACCTAATTTGTTTGATCCTAAAATTAGAAACTGAATTCCGGCATACTTGAATGTGTCCAATTATAGAACAGTGAGTGAATGACTGAGGTTGTGGTCTCTGCTCTGATGGACACCTTGGGGCCCAATGTGGAGAAAGAAGTTCCTGCACACAAGTGAACAGAGCTCTGACAACCCTGGGAGAGCCGGGCCTTCTCTCCCCCACCCTTGGTTAACTGCAGATGGTCAAATATGTTAACTTTTTACATCCAGTGTAGTATTTTGAATAGTTGGGGAAAATCGTTTTTGAATAATTTTCTTCTATGTAACCATGAACTTTGGAATCACACAGACTTGGTTCCATCACTTAATGACAGTGTGAGCCTGGGTAATGTTTGCTTGCCATGCTGTGGTCTGGATCGAATGTGCTTGAGAAAAAGACTGTTTTCTGCCCTTGCCTCTTACCTCAAGTGCCTGAGAAGGGACGCTGTAATGAGCTATACTGCCTAGAATTTGTTATGTTGACTTATGTTGTTTATTTTCCTTTTAGACAGTAAGAATGTTTGCATTTACATGGAACTTCTCATTTAAAAATATCTGTGATTTGAATTGATAAGACATTATAGTTGTCATTGTGTATAATAAGGCAATGCTGGAAACTGCAGCAGGGACCACAGGTACAGTTGAAAGGGCCTGTCACCTGTGTGGCTCAGGGCTAGGACTCCAGATGGAATTCTGGTGAAGAGCACATTTTCCCATTTGTCCAACTACAGTGTCAGAATGTAGCTGACATCAGTAGGAGAAGAGTTGCAGACCCCATAATATTTCCAGCAGGGAGCCAGCAGTACAAGTTACACAGTCAAGAGTACTGGTTTGCTAACTTGAGCTTCCGTTGAGTCTTTTTGTAAACTTAGTTTTTTATTCCTCCTGTACATTTCCACTTTCCACTACCCTTTGTAGATTTTCCATACCACACACATTCAGCTCCCAGAAGGTCTTATTTCCACCCTCATCCCACTGAGAGAATGTATGTGCCTGTGGATTATTCCTGCAAGACCTAGCCCTACCTCTCCAGGGGTTTCTCTGATGGGTCCTGTGCTCTGTGACCCTTCAGCCAGGCAAAATTCCCAGGCTATTCCCTACTGTGTGTGTGTGTGTGTGTGTGTGTGTGTGTGTGTTGTTGTTGTTGTTGTTGTTGTTGTTGGCCACACCCCACCCCAAGAGAGACTGTGATCACTTGGAAAAGAGAGGTTTCTTTCTGCTTCAGGTTGATGCTTAAGGCAATTAAGATATAAAAACTGACTTAAATTTTACCAAACTGTATGAGAAAGATATATGTATTGAAACAGGGACTTAATTTTATAATCATAGGTAGTTTGTTAAACATTTTAAAGAATTCTTTTTAAATTACAAAAATAGCCGGGCTCGGTGGCTCAGCCTGTAATCCCACACCTTTGGGAGGCTGAGGTGAGTGGATTGCCTGAGCCCACGGGTTCGAGACCCACCTGAGCAGCTTGGCGAGGCCTCATCTCTACAATAAAATCAAAATGAGCTGGGCATGGCAGCGTGCGCCTGTAGTTCCAGCTACTTGGAAGGATCGCCGGAGCCCAGCAGGTCGAGGCTGCAGTGGCCAGGAGCGGCCACTGCACTCCAGTCTGGGTGACAGAGTGAGACTCCAACTCAAAAAAAAAAAATAATTACAAAAATAATACCTGCTTGCAATAGAAAATGCAAATTAAAAGGGCATTTTAAAAACCCACCCTCTAGCTGGGCACAGTGGCTTATGCCTATAATCCCAGCACTTTGGGAGGCTGGGACTGGAGTTTTGCTTGGGGACTGGAGTTTTGCTTGAGCCCAGGAGTTCAAGACCGGCCTGGGCAACATACGAGACCTTGTCTATACAAAAACATTAGCTGGGCATGGTGGTGCTTGCCTGTACTCAAGAAGCTGAGGTGGAAGGCTTGCCTGAACCCACAGGTCGAGGCTGAGGTGAGCTGTGATTGTTCCACTGCACTCCAGCCTGGGCAATAGAGTGAGACTCTGACTCAAAAAATAATAATAAGCCCACCCTCTAACAAGTATTATTGCTTTGGTATATATTTCTCTAAACTCGTTAATGCATGAAGATGTGAATTTAGTAAAAACTGAATACTTTGAAAGTCATACTTTTTGTGTCCTTTGAGGGAGGATTTTTGGGGTTTTTTTCTTCAATTTTTGTCACTGTGGTTGTCCTTTTTTATCTTTTATTAGAAATATACTGTGCCCAGCTGGGCTTGCTGGCTCAGCCTGTAATCCCACGCTTTGGGAGGCTGAGGTGAGTGGATTGCCTGAGCCCGCGGGTTCGAGACCCGCCTGGGCAACTTGGCGAGACCTCATCTCTATAATAAATCAAAAAAATGAGCCGGGGGTGGTAGTGCGCACTTGTAGTTCCAGCTACTTGGAAGGCTAAGGCGAAAGGATCACTGGAGCCCAGCAGGTCGAGGCTGCGGTGGCCGGGAGCGGCCACTACAGTCCAGTCTGGGCGATGGAGTGAGACTCCAACTCAAAAAAAAAAAAAGAAATATACTGTGCCCATCTTTTCTAGGAAACAGTCAAGTTAACTATAGATTTTTTTTTTTTCAAACTAAACCTAGCTCCCAAGCTTTTGAGATGGCATTGAGGAGGCCTTCACCTGCCCTTTCTTTGGACTGATGCCTCCATTTCTTCCCTTGAGTCATGGGCAGCAGTAGAGGAACAGGGACCCTCATTCTGCAGCATCTGCCCCATCTCTGCCTGGACCAAGTCACACCTTGGGAAAGACAGCAAAACCCTGGACAGCAGTTCAAGGTCTTCTCAGCCTATGGATGCTGCCTCTAGCAAGCACTCCTTGAACTTGATCCCACTGCCTGGGCTGCCTGCATTCATTCAGTCACTCAGCAGAGGTTTTTGGAGCATAGGTTTGAGCTAGGTTTCTAACCAGCTACTAAAGACACAGATAAAACTCATTTCCTGCCTTAAGGATGCTCAGAGTTGAGTGGAGTTAGTGTGGAAATTAACGGAGCAGTATGGAGTAAGTGCTCTGAGCTGTGGGAAGATCGCTGGGCCCGGTGTCCCCAGTTGCACTTAGGTCTGCTCTCACATCGAAAATACTGTCTGTGCTCACCAGACTGTGAGCCACTGGAGACCGGAAACCTTCCATTCATCTCTGTGTCCAGTGCCTCACACAATCCCTGACCTTGGATGTTTGCCAGATGAGCCATCAGTTTGTTTTGTTTTGATTTGTGCAAGTAATCCATGTTCATAGAAACTTTAGAAAATAGTGAAGAAAAAAATCTCCCTTACAGGGGTAACCACTGTTAACATTTTATATATCATTCCAGACTCTTCTAGGCATCTGTGTCTACATACATTTCCTTTATATTTAGAAAATTGAATTATATGATGCATACTGTCTGCATAACCTGCTTTTTTATTCAGCAGTCTGTGTGGGCTAGCTTTCTATGTCAGGGATTGTGGACTTCCATCATGATTTTAATTGGCCACACGATACCCTATTGTGTGGACGTGCTGGAATTTACTATCCCCCAACTGTTAGATAATTAGAGAAATGATTAATTTGTAATATTAAGTTAGTACCATACTTTAGGGGTGCTATGAAATAAGTAGGCATTTGTGGTATTTCACTTGAGAATCTGTTAATCACATAAAATAAATTTTTTCTCTGAGAAAATTAGAACTTTAACAGTATACTTTTATTTTCGTATTTTTATATTTTTCATAAGAAATGCTATTTAAAAATAGTTTTCTCAGTCTGCTTAGAAAATATTTGAAGGCCACTTATAGGAAGAACTCATGTCACTTTTTAAAATGTAGTTTATTCTTTATTTTTCAATATGTTTATTCAGTATGTTTGTTTCTACAGGCATCTGGTGCAAGTTCCTGTGAAATATGCCATGAAGTGTTCAAATCAAAAAATGTGCGTGTGCTAAAATGTGGGCACAAGTATCACAAGGGGGTAAGAATTCTCTCTTTGGCCATCCTTATCCCATGCATTGTGGTTTTATTCAGCAGTCTGTATGACTAACTTTCGTGTCAGGGATTGTGGACTTCCATCATGATTTTAATTGGCCACATGATAGCCTGTTGTATGGATGTGCTGGAATTGCATTGTGACCATCAGGTATTTTGAAAATTAAAGAATGTTCTAGGCATCAATGTTTCTCTATTTTGAACCGTTTTATTTGTAAACTTCCCATGTCAATATTCATTGTCTCCCTATTTGAAGACTGGTGTTGTGGGAGGGGCAGGGTTCCTGAGCCCTGGCACGTGCAGCTCTGCAGATTGTCCTTTCCATCATGCCAGGTAGAAGAGAACATCAGCTCCAGTGACTTTCTGGTGCTGAGATTCAAAGTAATATTAGTTCCTTGAAAGGTGATTTCTTACATGCATGACTAAGTAGATAAAACAATGTAATCGTTTTGGCTTTTTTTTTTTTTTAGTGTAATCTATGAAGTCAGTTTAACATTTTAGAGAAGAAAAACAGCCTCTCTGGGTCCCTTATGCCTGACAGTGGGAGAATCCATCTTGTACCCTTCTAGGATCTGTGTGTTAACTGATCTTGGTGTTCTGGGAGCTATGAACATTTGTCCTGCACCCCTTCTGCTGGGTTAGAACAGATTAAGTCTCTGCCATGTGGATTTATTAATCCTTTAGAAAAGGATAGATACAGCATACCTACTAGAAGGAATTGAGACAGCTTGCAGTGTCTCTTCTGCATGGTCTCATGCCTGGTCTCTCCAATTTTCACACACCCCAACCATGTGGACAACAGTAGGCCGAACAGGAGCAGCAGGGAACACAGTATGCAGGCTGGTGGGCTGTTAGAGAACTAAGGACTAAGGCCAGGCAGAGGGATGTACTAAGCCTCAAGTAATCAGGTCCAAGAGTCAAAAGATGCCAGGCTTTGAAAGTCAGGGCCACTGAAGCTGAAGAGCCAAGACTGGACCTAGGGTGCAGGGCAAGGCCACTGCTGAGGCCAGGTCAGAGACCCAGAGTATTCATGGGTCTGATTCTGAGGCGGGATTATTTGTTCCTGGGACATTGTCCACACTCCTGGCCTGAGCAAGCACTGGTGTCCCTGGGTCCTGGGCAGCTCTAGTCCCGAGAGACTTCAAGGTGAGATTCGCCATGCCTGCCAAGGAGTCCAGCAGCACTGGCAAGTTCAGCTTCCTCATAGTCCTGAAGGCATCTCCTGATTTTGTCTACTTCTTTTTCAGTGCTTTAAGCAGTGGCTTAAAGGGCAGAGCACTTGCCCAGCCTGCCGGGATCATGATCTCCTGCTAGAAAAGTAGCCTGCAGTTTCTGGAAGAGGCCCCCACAGTGAAAATTAGGAACCATCTTTCTGCTACTCTAAGAAGTCACACTTCACTATGTAATTCACTGGCGTGTTGAATTGGAAGCATGACAAGTTAGTACCTTTGGCATAAAAAGCAAACAACATTTGAAGATCTTCTTACAATGTGTGTCTTAAAGCTAGTGCATGGAAATCTTTAATACAGTTGATACTAAGTAATTTCCTTACTCTGCTTAAACATTTTGATGATGGCCAAGTAGTGGGTAATAAATGACACACAAGCACATTCTTAGTTGTGGGGGTTGTTGTACAGGGCCTTCTGAGGTGGGTGGCTTCTTTTGGAAAGTGCCCAAAGATTCATATCTCCTCTTCATGAAATACCATCTGTTTGGGATTTTTCATTTCATTCTTTTATTTTTCCTTCATAGATTTTTTTTTTTTTTAAGTTGGAGTCTCACTCTGTCGCCCAGACTGGAGGGCAGTGGCCCCTCCCGGCCGCCACAGCCTCGACCTGCTGGGCTCCGGCAATCCTTCCGCCTCAGCCTTCCGAGTAGCCGGAACTACAGGCGCACGCTACCATGCCCGGCTGACTTTTTGATTTATTGTAGAGATGAGGTCTCGCCAGGTTGCCCAGGTGGGTCTCGAACCCACGGGCTCAGGCAATCTACTCACCTCAGCCTCCCAAGGCGCGGGATTACAGGCTGAGCCACCGAGCCCGGCTCATAGATTTTTTTTTAAGTGTTTATTGTTCGTCTTTTAAAGATGTAATCTGATTTTTGAAAATCATTTGTAAAACACTTTTTAATTAATGTCAACCAGGAATTTTTACCCTGAAAGTTGAAGCTGTGTATTCACTATACCAGCCACACATTTGGAACTTATTATTTAAATACTCAGCTATTCTAATTAGCAGCATTTGTTCTTTGTGAGTCAGTCAACAAGTGCTCGGGTTTCTCCACCCAGCACAGGCTAAGCACCCCACAGGCTTGTGCAGAAACAGTCACCATCGTTTTTCTTCCTTATCCCACCACAAAAATAGAAACTATGTCATTAGACAATCTTGAGGTATCTGTGTTACAGTTCTGTGTTTGACATTTGTGTAAAGTAATGCATGCAGTCTTGTACTATGATCTTAGAACAAAACTGTAACTGCTTTAGAAACCACACACACACACACAAATATCATTTTGTGACTTATAGACAGTGATAAATACAGAAACATGAATTCTGGACACATTCCATTACTCTCAAACTTGAAGGATCAAAAAATGTTTTTCGATGTGTTCTTTGTTTCACTGGAAACTTAGAGTCATGATTTTATGAGCTGATTTGCCACCTTCCTTTGCCTTTGTACACCATGAATTTTGATGTCTTAGTGACTTTCACAGAAGCTCACTCCTTAATTTGAAACATTCTCCATGGTGGTCCCTAAATCGTTGACTGCATATTCATAAAAATTGAGATCTGTGTATGTTAAAATACACAGGAACCAGTTTGTAGCAACAAGTACAAAGAAGGACATCTGTTGAGTGAGACAATGTGCTTTGTACATAACTACAGATACTTGTGAACATGCCTTATATTTGTCTAGTAACTGTCAGAATAAAGAGCATTCTAAAACAGCAGCAGTTTACTGTCATTCTTATCCATTCTTAGAAAATTCCAAAATGCATTTGACTTGAAAACGTAGGGCATGTATGTAATGCTAATGTTTAAAAAATGACTTCACATTTGGAAAGGGCAGCCACAGCCACGCCATGTATGTCTGAGGAGTCTGACCAGGGATCTTAGGACATTTTAGAGCATGGGTCACAACATTCCTTTGTGACTAAATGAAGGTTGCCAACTCAAGTTCACAAGACTGACCACTTAAATTTATGAATGGAAAGTTTATACAATGATGATAGACGGTTTGCTATTTTATTTTAGGCTCAAGTGAGAGATTTTTCATGTGAATTCATGAAAAGATATTAAAGGTAAATTGCATTCCTCAGTGCCTTTGGTTGTTAAGACATCTGTGAATTTATGGACTACTGAGACAAATCAGTGGGTTTCCTTTTTAGAGGAGTTTCTGGGTATGCTGAGCATTAAAAGATGATTGGAGAAAGCAAATTTTTAAAATCCATCTTTTGTTTATTCAAGTGTATTTAAGATAGTATCAGTATATATATTTAATCTGATAGTATTTAATTTAAAGCAATGACTATTCTTGAAGAATTTAGATTTTTCTCTGCTGATTGCTTAATCTGTATTAATAATGGATAGTCAAATATAAAACTGAAGTGGCGCCCTAGCGATACAAAATGTTACTACAATTTTCAAGTAATTTCAAAGACTATAGAAGTCCCCTACCTGCCAACTTATTCGTGTTCAATCTCCACACACTGGTTTCAGGCATCCACTGGGGGTCTTGGAACATACCTTCCTTGGATAAGTGGAGGACTGTGTGTGTGTGTGTGTGAAGTGTGGAGGCAGGTGGTCACAGTGATCAGTACAGCAAAAACTGAAGTAATAAAACTGTTTTAGAGTAGTTTTTCAGTCAGATGACTCTGGAGAAATGGATTAAAGAAAAAGGTAGAAGAGACAGTAGCAAAGGTGGAAGTTCCTTCAGTCAACATGAGACATGTATTCATGAGGCTGAAAAAGCAAAGTCAATAAAGTGATAGAATGGTTTTCAGAATGAGGACCAGAACACATCTCCAACATGACCTTTCATGAAAGAAATCTGAAATATATTTAGGTATTTTAAACACTTGTGCAACAAACTTAATTTTTAAAAGAATTGGTTATTAGTCATGTCTAGTTCCTTTTTATTTTCTACTCTTCACTGACATGATCAGCTAAGAGGAGATGTCCATGTTCAGATAGCCATATACTTTTAAGTGCTTTGCTGAGAAGAATGGGCAAGGCCTACCATGGATACTCGTGAAAACTGGGAACCATTCATTCAGCAACTATGTATTGAGTACCTGCTTTGTGCTGCATACCAGGCTAGATGTGTTGACACAGCAGTAAATGAGACACGGAGCTAAGCGTTGTTAAGATTAAGGACCTGGAAATTGAATAGGGAGAGAGTTTGATAGTAAGATTAGGAAGTAGCATTTCCTCAGTGCAGCCTAGCCTGTGTAACACAACAAGCGGTGAAAAGAGCAAGAAGAAATCAAAACACCTCGAAGTTATTTTGGAAAATAACAGTCTTGTTCCTGAGATCTCCCTGAATTGACTTAAGGAATATTATGATTCTACAGTAAAGGATAATTTCACCTGTGGCTTTCTCAGATTACTTTCATGAGCAGTTTTGAGTCAGCCTTTCCTCTTCAGTTTGGGTTTAGGATCAGAGCCCTATGGTGGGCTCACTTGGGGGATTGCACTGGTGCATCAGAGGGGCATAGGCAAGGCCAGCCGTGGTGGAGGTGTGTGATCCAACCTCGGCTTAGGATGAGAACTGTCAATTATTCCATCATCACCTCCACTCTATATTGTCTCTTCCTAGTCCCCATTTAAAGGTGAAAAAATATCAGATATTGTTTACCAAAAATGCAGAAATTAGCACTAGTAAACTACTAATCAAAATCCTGGTGAGCCAATCAAGTCAGATTGATAAACCATCAAGTCAGAAAAAGATTTTTAGCTAAAATAAGAATAATTTTGGGTATCCCTATGGAAAGAAAGGAAACTTGACCTCTCACAGCATACACAAACATCAGTTCCAAATGGATTATAGTCCTAAATACGAAAAGTAATGCAGCTTCTATAAGAAAACAGACTATCTTCCTACCCTTGGAATAAAGATTCATTAGGAAACAAAAAGTCCTAGGCATAAAGGACATGAACAGAACTTTTCAAAGGAAGACATTGAAGCTGCCAATAAATATGAAAAAATGCTCAGCCTCACTAATCAGAGAAATGCAAATCAAAACTACCATGAGCTACCACCTAACACTAGTCAAGATGGCTATCATCAAAAAGTCAAAAAACAAGCCAGGCTCAGTGGCTCAGCCTGTAATCCCGCTCTTTGGGAGGCCGAGGTAAGTGGATTGCCTGAGCCCGCAGGTTCAAGACCCGCCTGGGCAGCGAGATCTCATCTCTACAATAAATAAAAAAGTCAGCCGGGCGTGGTAGCGCATGCCTGTAATTCCGGCTACTGGGAAGGCTGAGGCGGAAGGATCGCCGGAGCCCAGTAGGTCGCGGCTGCGGTGCCCGGGAGCGGCCACTGCACTCCAGTCTGGGTGACAGAGTGAGACTCCAACTCCAAAAAAAAAAAAAGAAAAGGTCAAAAAACAACAGTCACTTGCGTGGCTGTGGAGAAAAGGGAACACTTGCTTCTGCACTGTTGGTGGGAACGTAAGTTATTTCAACCTTTGTGGAAAGCAGCATGGCAATTTCACCTAAAAGTTGAGCTTCCGTACGATTCAACAATCCCTCCTCTGGGAATATACTCAGAGGAACATAAATTGTTCTATCAAATGAGACTCCAACTCAAAAAAAAAAAAAAAAA